GGAGGGAGGTACTGGGTGGGGCTGGGTGGCGAGGGGCTGTGCCATTGAGCCTGGGTGCCCCCCTCCCCGCCTCCCACTGCAGCCAAGTTGTCAGAGTAAGCCCACCCTGGCCTTCAGAGTCATCGAGTTCCCCCCTTCCACGCCTCCCACCCGAGAGAGAGGCTCCCTTCACATTTCAGGAGGGTCTGTGCTGAGGAGCTCGAAGGTCACTTGGGGAATAGGGTCAGGACAGAGCCCTGCAAAGGTCTAGTAGGAAGCTTTAGAGGTAGTGAGGTCTCCATCCCTGGGGTATATGCAAGTAGAGGCCAAGTGTCCCAAAGGGTCGCATCTATCTGGCAAGCAGTCTGGGCAGGGAAGCCAGCCTGAATCACCTCCTTGATCCCACAGCAGCAGGGATTCCCTGGTCGAAATCTGCTGGTCAAGGCCAGAGCAATCTCTGAGTTGGCAGAGGATTTGAATGTCCCGAACAAGCAGCACAGTCCTCCCACTTTGAATGCTGGGCACAAGCCATGTGCCACTGACTTTCCTGGTGTTTCTTAAAAGTACTTTGCCAAAGCTCCTGGTCAGAACTGGGAATGAGTCTCCTTTGCCCACTCCTGCCTAGGGAATTATCTACGCTAAGCTCGAAAGCTAATCATCACATGGGCAGCTTCTGTGTGATACTGAGTGCTAGCTTAGAAGCTCAGAAACCAGTCGAGAAGGCCAGTGAAGGCCCTCCCTACAGGTCATGCTGGCACACTGTTAAGGTCGGACCTGTTCCAAGGTGCCCTTGAGTCTCCTTGGTCCCTTGCCCACTGCTGCTGAGCAGGCTTTCTGGGGACACAATTCATTCTCCCCACGCTTATTTATCAGGTCTTGATTATGTGCTGACATCATGCAAGGTCCTGGGGTAAGAAGGTAGGTAGCCCCTCACTGGGCTTCCAGAAACCACAGGAGGCAAGGGCTAGAGGGGCTCAAGCCCTCATTGCCCTCTGTGCTTCGCCTCACAGGTGGCCTGGGCCACCTGCAGCCCCGGGGCACCTGAACCCCACCGTGAGGCCTCCCCACATACCTACTTCCTGGGAGGACTCCAGATCCTACAATCGCCCATCCCGGCCTGCAGCACACAGAAAGAAAAGGGCTGCCCTGGACACCTTCATGCTGTGGCTGCATGACGCATGGCACTGGTGTGTTGACACGTGCCATTTCAGAGAGTATTTTTAATAATGATGTGTTATGGCCACCATTTCCCGGGCCTGCTACGTATTAGTACGTTAAGAAGTTAACTTTTGCAACTATCCTGTGAAATGAGATTTCACAGATGAGGAAACTGGTGTTCACGGACCACTGGGGGGTCTGCTCAAGGAGAAGCGAAGGAGTGAAGACAGGATTTGCACCCAGTTCCATCTGTCTCCCTGTCCGTGACCCTATGCTTTCTCAGCACCACCTCCCAATCTAACTGAGTCTCTCATCCTAATTTCAGTGCCTAGGAGGTCTTCTCGGTACAACTCAAATTACATCGCAGGCAAGACGTTCAACATATAGTAAAGGAATCACAATTTTGTCAAGAAAAAATCAACAACGACAAAACAGCACCACCGTGCTCAAGCTGTGATTTAGCCATGGGTCACGGTTGATAATGTTCATTACCCAACCACGGTCCTATAACCATTAGCCGATTATAGTAGAGTTTCTGTTTTCAACAGTCTGGAGGGGAGAGGCTCTTGTCATACCAAAAGAGTGAAACTGTGGTCTGCCGTGGTCACGGGTGAGTGGCCCAGGTACAGTGTGCAGTGCAGCCAGGCCCCTTCAGGTCACCATGACCTGACGTGGCGGTGACAGCCGTTTAAACGCTGAGTGGGCCTCGCCCCTTACCCTTGTTACCTGATATAAGGCACACTTGAAGGAATGTGGAACTTGGCGCCCGGGTCAAAGTCGCCTTGAGACCTGGCCACCGGGGGGCAGAGGCCCTGGTATTTCAGCCTGTCAAAAGGGAAGATGCGTTGGAGGGAGGGTTTGGGGACAGTCAGGCCAGGGAGGGTTGGCATGTTTGACTTGAAAGACATTCCCAGCACCTGGGGCTACACTGGGCACTCGAGACTCCGGCGTGCTACACCTCTGTGCACAATCACCCCCTACGTACCCTCATTTACACACTCACAAAGACTCATGTGCACATGCACACACACACACAAATACACACTTAGATGTTATATACTCAGACACATTTACAATGTGCACACGCACACACACGGGCATGCACAGACACCCATGGAGACTCCTCCACACACACCCCAGAGGAATGTTCTAGGACCTGAGGCTCCACCACTCCTGGTTGTAGTTGTCCTTGGTGATGCCTCCGTCAAAGACCCTCCAGCGCCACTGGTCGATGAGGTAGCTGAAGGGGACAAATGCGACCTTGTCGAGCGCTATCTTCATCAGAAAGTTGATGTCTTGCTCTGCCAAGGGAAGGGAGCCCACTGTCAGATCTACGCCTGCCTCCGGCCACATCCTAGCAGCTCGGCCATGATGCATTTGTGATGGGTGGACAGGGGAGGAGTGGGCTGTACCTCTTTGGGTCCTGTGACCTGCCTCTTGGGGTGGTCTATGGGTTTCATCCCCCCAACTCCCTGCTGGTGGCCCTCTCATTCCCCATTCCCCTGCCCTAACCTCTGCCTATGTGCCTTTAAGTCCCCTCCCCAACCTCCCAAGCTCGCTGCCCCTTGTGGTCCCTCTGCCCACCAGGATCTCCCCTTCCTCTCTCACCATAGCTGTCACCATCGCTGCTCAGCAGGTTGATGCTGTGCAGGTGCTTGGGGGTAGACACTGAGAGGGCCAGCACATCCCCGATGGCCTCGTGAAAGCCAGGGTTGGCGCCCTCCCGGAAGGTCACAGGCAAGTCCTTGTACTGCATGAAATACTGTATGTGGCCCATTTCATGGTGGGCTACCACCAGGTCCTCCATGTTCACAGTGGTACACTGCTTGATCCTGGGAGTAGGGAAAAGGTGTGGAAGGGGACAGTGAAGAACCGTGGGGCAAAGGGACCTGCTGTCCTTACTGCATACAGAGCAGACCCCCATCACCGCTATAAGCAGGAACACAGCATTATGAGAGAAAAAAAAAAAAAAAGGAGTTATGAAGTAAGCCTGAGAAAGAGGGAATCTGGGGGTTGGAAGCCCCTAAAGTCTAGTTATTCTGGCCATTCCTCTGCCTCCAACTTCCCTGAATAGCTCCAGCCCACATGGCCAAGTTGCTTTCTAACTATGCAAACTACTTGCTCTAGAGACATTGGGACACTTGGTTATGGCCAGTGCAGGACCTTCTAGAAGTCCTGTGGTTTCTCGTGCACGTTTTTGGCTCTCCCAAGACTGAGGTTTCCTGAAGGAAACAACAGTACTGGAGCTGTTCTGCATCCCGCAGGGCCAGTGGCAGCAAGCACAGCCACCCGTGATTTCTCGTAGCCGGGACCGAAATGACATCGGCAGAGCCATCCACGCCAGAGCTTCCACTTCCCTCTTCATCCTTCCTCGTTCTCTTTCGTGAGCCAATGAAATTCCCCCTGGGATCTAAGCAGAGCCCTTCAGTCCAGTCGACCCCATTTTTCTGCCACTCCATCGGGAGAGGAAGAGCTGCTCTGTGTCCTGGTTACAATGAGGCTGCGTGTCTGTCCACCTTCCCCTATGACTCCTATACAAAAGAGAGCTGCCCCACTCGAGTCTGGCTCTGCCCAGCCCTACAGCTGTAGTCCTCATGGCTTTGAAGGAAGGGCCCAAGGCCAGGTGACCCAGTGAACCATCTGGTTTGTTCCAGGCTCTCTGTGTCACAGATCTCATAAGACACACTTCGTCCACTGTGGCAGATCATCTTTGTCCCTCTCTCAAGAGGCGGGGGGGTTTCTTTCCCTTCTCTCGAATCCGGGTTGGCCTCGTGATGTGCTTTAGCCAATAAAATCTGGCAGAAGTGACTCCGCTCATTGTGGACTTAGCCTTTAAGAGACCTGGCTGTTTCTGTTTTCGTTACGGGGGATGCCAGCTGCCAGGTAAGACCTCGGACTGCCCGACTGCTATACTGTGAGGAAGCCCAAGCTCGCTGGGAAAGAGCGATGTCCCGCCAATGCCCAGCTGTCCTGCCATCTCAGCCCAGGGTATCGACATATGAGTAAAGAAGCCAACTTGAATATTCCAGCCCCAGTATGTGCCACATGGAGAAAAACTGAGGAACCAAACCAATAGCCAGAACCACAGCCCCAGACAGATGGCCCACTAAGCTCTCCAGCCATATCTAGCCATCTCTAGCCATCAGAGCTACCACAGCTGAGGTCTCCAATACTGCAGAGGAGGAATGAGCCATTTCCATTGTGTATTACCTGACCCATAAAATCATGAGAATAATCAAATGGCTGTTTTATACCTCTAAGTGTTGGTGGTTTGTTATGTAGCAATAGGTAACTGGGACACTATCCACTGATGAAGACAGCTTCTGAGTTTCTATCAGTGGTAAGGACAGATCTGTGCAAAGCACCTCACGTCCTCATGTGCCTTCCTGTGTCAAGGCACATGCACCCAGGGAGAGGGCCAGCTGTATTCAGGGGCCACCCTGGAGTGAGGGAAGCCTGGGCAGCTAACACCCAAGACTGGAACCTTAGGTGCCAACAACTGACCAGGCTAGGTCGGCACTTGGGAAGACCCTTGCCTGGTGGATGGGGTTTCCCTGCCGGAAGCTCATGGCCAGCCTGGGACCAGGCCCCATGCTCTTGGCCCTCCATCCTAAGCTCTGGCCCCTGCACCCATTTCTGTTCGCTCTGGCTGAGAGGGGATAGAAATGGAGGCTTTACTTGGCTCATCCCCTTGCCCACTGGGCTCAGGATAAGGTCCCCTGGCTGCAGCCTGGACACACCTGAAGTCCTTGCCATTGTAGAAGTCCCAGGCAGAGGCATGGCACACCACTTCTCGCCCATCGGTCGGCTTCTCCAGCATCGACTTGTTCCAGAACTCAGGGGGCACAGGCAGCAGCCCCAGGGAGGTGAAGAAATCGTTTGCTTCCTCAAACATCTTTTTGGGTGTCCAGCCCTGCAAACAGAAGGAGCTCTGACAAAACCGGGGACTGTGGGGACAGACTGTGTGCCGCAGCGGGGAGGGGACTAGAAAAGAGCCCAGTTGAGAGGGACTCCTGGATCAGAGGGCCCTCTCCCACCCCAGCAGGCGCCTCCCTTTCCCTGTGTCCTGGGGCCACCTTGGAGGAGCTGGAGTACAAGGAGCAGGTGCGGACCTGCTTTATCATGGCCTCCGTGGCGTCCATCTTGGGGGCCGAAGGGAAGGGTATCACTAAGTCATAGATGTTGGACCAGGTCTGCGCCCACATGTTCCCTGGAGTCGGGTAGGGTAAGAGATGGTGGAGAGAGGAGAGATAGGTGTTATCCTTAGGCTCAGCACCACCATGCAGGGCGGGGCAAGCAGATCCCAGCCCTGCGGATCATCACGGTGTCCCTTGAGCTCCTACTCTTTGCAAACTATGCTGGGCATTTGAGCCCACAAGTTCATTACTTTCCTGGTTCACGGGTGAGACCCTTGCTGGCCATCAGGGAGTCAAGGTGGTCCTCACTGTCCCTGAGCAATGAAGACCAGTGTGACTAGCAGCTATGTACAAGTGTAGAAGTTTTGGGTCCCTGGAGCATTTTTGCATACATGGCCACCACCTACTGAGTGTCAAGTAACTCCCCGGGGCCGTGGCTCTTAAGTGAGGGGGCTGGGGTTTAAAGGGGCAGGCAGTCAGGCCGTACTCCTGACCAGCCACTACTTTGTCCCCTCCATGTTGCCCGAGGTTGGTTTATGCAGTCACCTGGCAAGAACCACCCAGGAGAGGTTGATGCCTCTGCATTTAGGGCATGAGAAGAGGTCAGTTTTCAAGGACTGGAGAAAAAGAAGATATTAAGAATGAGTGGAAAGGTCCAGAAAATTAGATTCGAAGTAGAGAGTCTCTCACAGCTAAAGGAGTTTGAGTTTGAGCTGACACCCAGTGGAGTCCAAAGTACAAAGCAGTGAGAGTGAGTGAGAGGGAAGAAGGGAGGGAGGGACAGAGGGGGGAGAGAGAGAGAGAGAGAGAGAGAGAGAGCGAGAGAGCATGTGGGCAGGCGTGCAAGCAGCTCCAACCAGTGCCTGGCCACTCGCATCCCAGGGGCCGAGTTCCAAGCCCAAGCTCTGCCTCAGCCCCCCAGGCCACCTGGGCCCATTGCTTCCCCTGCCAGAGTCTGTGTTTTTCAGTCATCAAGATGATGTCCACTCTGATGTTCTTTGGTCTCACCACACAGGGATCAAGGACAGCTGATATCCTGGGCTGCAAAGACCCTCCAGGTTGAATGGGAACTAGACCCAAAGCTAGGCCAGCTTCTGGGATCTCTCTCTCAGTTTGTAAATGATCTGTGGCTCTGTCTGGCCTCTCTGCTTACAGTAACGAGTCCCCCAGGAACGTGATCCCGGCGGCCCAACAGGGACAGGAGCCTGGTGGCCTCTACCCTACCATTCCTTATTGTCTTCCACTACCTACATCACATGTTCAAGGCATTTGAATTTACGATCTCTAAGAGGGTCAGAAAGTTGAAGTGAGTCTACGCCCTCGGGGTTCTGTCCTGCTGACCCCCCGGGCCTGAACGGTGTGTCTGCCCTGTCACTACATTTTCCATCTGTCAGAACCTCTCATCTATCGAGGCTTCGCTCACAGGCCGCCCCTTGCGGAGGCCTCAGTTCCCACTCACGGCCCCTTCCTCGCCCTCCATATCATACCGTCTTGAGCTAGGATGGGTGATGTGGTCTCCCTGTGGCAAGATCGTGAGCGCCCCGACTGCCCCATCCACGGTGACTTGCACCACGTGGATCTGCAAGCCGGGGGCCCCTCCGCCCACACCCAGGCCCGCCCCGCCCTCTGCAACGTTCCTTCCAGGCTCAAGTCTTTTCACTCCTCCAGCCCGAAGTGCCGTCGGCAGACCCTTCTGCTCCTGCCCCTGCTCTGGCCTCGCCTCACCCTCCCTCGTACTGACATCTGCCAGCACCTGCCCTCACCCAGCAGGTGCGCGGGAATGGGGCCCTCTAGGTTGATGCGCTGGGGCCCGTAGTGGCGGTGCAGGGCCCGGCGCACGTAGGCGTGCAGGTTCAGGTAGAGCGGCCGCAGCTCCTGGAAGAGCTGCTCCAGGTCTTGCTCGAGGGTTGGCATCTCATACACAGATCTCCATGAGTCCCCTGCGTCTGTGTAGCCTGCAGAGGGGACACAGCCAAGCTCTCCGAACACCTGGGCACTCCCTGAGCACCGCCCCCCCCGAACCCGCTGCCTCCTCCAGCGACCTCCTTCTCACCAGGCTTAAAGGCTCTGAGGACCTGTCTAAGGGTCCCAGGGGGGCTGGGACCAGAGAGCTAGTCATATTGATGGGAGGGACTCACCATTGAGCCGGGCGGCCTTGTTGGAGAGTTCCACATATTTGGGGAAAAAAGGGAGGATGGATCTTCCCACCTCGTCTCGCCAGCCCTTCCATGCCCATGACAGTTCTTCATAGTTCCGGGATGTGGCCATCAGATTCGTCAGATCTGGGGAGGGTGGGGGTTGAATGGCTTGAGCTCCCAGCCCGTGGCCCACCTCCCCGCTCCTTCTAAGGTGAACTCAGTCACAGAAGTTCAGAGCTGGAATAAAGCTGTACAGCGGATTCCAGAGCCACTGCTGCTTCCCACTCATCCCCCCTCACCCCCCTTGCCTGGGAGAAGTGGCCTGGAGGTGACAAGACCTGAGTTGTTCTTGTTCTAGTCTCTCACTGACCCCCAAATTACCTTGTCAGTTACCTATCTACGAAGTGCCGGCCCTACTCACAGGGAAATGAAAATCAAGCTGGGGACAGGAGGCCCCTGAGTAGGGGAGTGGGCCAAGTTCATTTCTGTAACCCCACAGGGCCCAAGGTATCTTGCACAAATGAATCGAACTGGATTGAATAAAAGAAGGGCCGTGAAGACGAAGCACAGAGAACCACCCAGGCATCACCAGGGGGCCAGAAGTTCTGGATTTGTGTCTTGTCAAAGCCGCTGACTGCTTGTGAGGCCCCCCGGTACGGATTACACGGAGCGGACGTCTCCCTCGCAGAGCTGGCCTGAGGATGGCACGAACTCGTGTGTCGGTTCCGAAGCCCCCAAGAGACTCGTGGTGGCTCCCTCCCCGCCCAGGCCCGACCTGAGCTGGACAACTTTGGAGAGCATTCCCGGCCACCCACACCTCATTATCTGACTTGCTACGTGGTAACTCCTTCTCACAGAGAAAGTACATTCAAATTAATTTAGTTTGGAAAAACTGTAGTTTCAGAATTTCACATCTGCCCTCCGCTGATGTGAGTGTCCTGTTCTTGTGGGTGTTTCTTATTTTTACTAATGGCAGTGACCTGATGGCCCTCGATTAAGCAGCTAATTGTTGGGGTGGGAGGGGCTGAGGGCTACACTCCCTTCAATGCTCTTTTCCATAAACACACGCGGACACATACGCACATACACGCACCCCGCATGCATGCACACGCACATGCACATGCATGCGGGCACCCCCCCCAACACTTTGCGTGCAGACTCACATACACAACCCGTAGGCCAAACCCCTGTCCCGGGAAAGCTGTTTCTCCCTCCTGTTTATTTTCCATTTCCCTTTCTATTTGTCATTGCTCTAATGTGGGAGTTGGGCAGAGGGCCAGGAAGAGGTTGTTTCTGGGTGGAGATTCCTCAGGAAGAATGCTTGCGCCTCTGGCTCCCCAACCCTGGGAAGGCTGGGTCAGGAGGGAGGGGGGAGTGGATCTGTGTGCAGGTACGTGGGTGTCCAGGGTGAGCTCTTTCAAAGAGGAGAAGGTAAGAAGGACCGGCCAGTGTGGTAAGAGAAAGGGGAAGAGGAAGAGCTGGAAAAAAAAATCCAGCAGGAGGGCGGTAGAGGGAGCGAAGTGGGAACAACATGGACCCTGGAAGTGGTTTCGACAGGTTGTGGCTTCAGTTTCTGGGGGGGCAAGAGAAGGGCCCAGGAAGGTAGGAAAGCCCTGGATAGGATCAAGAAATGAGCGCGGAGTGCCTCGAAAGACAAATTTGAGATACGGGCTGCTCTGAAGGGCAGAGTGCAGGGAGGAAAAGAGCATGGGAGAGACTGGAGGGGTCCCAGAGGGCGCAGATGGGCAGATCCGAGGGCGGGCAGTGGATGAAGGTGGAGAGGAAGTGGGTGCGGGGTCTAAGTGGTGGCAGAGAAGCCCCACTGGTGGAAAACGGGGAGGTGAGTCTCCTGGCCATGCTGCAATCACAAGGTAGGAGTGCCTGAGCCCCCTTTCATAGGTCAGCACCCCTAATACTGTGCCAGCCGCTCCCAGCCCCTCCTTCTCCCTCCATGTGTGCTCACCAGGCTCTAGCTGCAGACAAGTGCCATTGGAGTGGCACACAGAGGCCACACTGTAAGTGGTTTCCATGTCCAGCAGGATTTGGTTGTACTGTGGGAAGAAGAACAGAGGCCGTGAGCTGCACCCCTTTGCTGCCTGCTTCCCCTGGGCACCGTCACAGTGGGGGGAAGCTCTGGAGCTGGGGGAGCGTGTTCCCAAAGGTGCTGCCTTCCCAGTAATTCTGTAGGTGCATGTTGATATGGCAGATGTCACAGCTGGATAAATCGAGGAAGAGGCAGCAGCATGCCCCAGCCCCGCACTGGGCTAGCTCCCTCAAGCTAGGACCTGGCCTTGACCTTGGACCTCCCACCTCCTGCTCCCTCCAGCCACACACCTCCTCCAGCTCCTTGGCAGGCAGCGCTGCACGCTCTAGGTCCTGAATCTTGTGTATTATCCGCTTCATGGTGGTGTTCTGGAAATAGGTCACATCAAACCGCTTGGCCCGGGTGCCATACTTTAAGGTGTGGTTTGCCATCTGTATGTTCTTCTGTAGCTGAAGGCACAGGGGTAACCGTGGTGTGAGGCCCAGAAGCTTTGGAGAGACCCCTGAGGAGGAGGTGCCATGCGGGGAGCCAAAGGGACTGGGAGTGGCAGTGAGGAAGACAGTTTTGTCAAGTTGTTGTCATTGTTTATAAAGACCCTCTTTGGCCTGGACTGTGTATAATGTCCTGGATGCAGTCTGTGTCTCTCAACGGATGCCCATGGACACGCCTTGGCAGGGGTAGAGAAGAGGCCCCGCACCCTGTATCTTAAAGGCTATCAGGATGGAGGCAGGTTGGTGTTAGCATCCTGGCCTCCCTGAGCCTCGGGGTCCCATCTGTAAAATGGGAATAAGATCGTGGGTTTTGCAAGGCTGTTGGAGAATAAACGAAGCAACAGATATAAAGCACCCAGGAACAGTGGGCAGATGGTCTTTAAGAAACGTTGGTTCCCTGCGGCTTGCCTTGGTCTAATCTGTGCTCACCACACAGGTGGGGAACGGGGTTGGAGGGAAGGGTATGATGGTAAATGGGCTTCCACTCTTTTCAAAAGCTGACTTTGGCATCACTTATTTGTGCACAGATCACTCTTTTACTAACAACAGACTGTTAATGAAAGACAACTTGTTTAGGCATTGAGTATACGCCCACCCAAATCTGAAAGTGAGCATTGTTCTAAGTATTCCATTTGGATTCTTCACAAATTCCGACAGCCTCTTCACCGTGAGATGACACAGGGGAGGGAGGGAGGGGGCGCCCTGCCCTGCCTCGGGCTTTGGAGGGTTGGGCCCTGGGCGGAGGGGCCCGGAGTGTGCGTGTGCCTGTCTGTGTGCATGCATGGGCGTGGGCGTGGGCGTGGGCGTGGGGAGGGCCCCTACCAGGATCTTGCTGGCCTCTGAGGTGATGTTGGTGTTGTAGTTCCAGTTGGCCTCCGCATACTCGTTCCATACCACCTGGGATATCTGGTCATATTCCTCCACAAACTTGCTGGCCTCGGCCTCGTCAGTCACCAGGGCTGTGGGACAGAGTGGAGGGAAACAGACAGGCCTCCCCTTGCCCTCTCCTGCAGATGGGCAGAGGAGCCGCCACGCCCCCCTGCCGCCCACCTCGCACTGCCCGCCCCAGCCCTCCGCTGGTCCCACTTGGGCTCTGGGTTGTCTGGCTGCTGGTTGTTGCCTGGTGAGTTGTTGTCTGGCTTCCGGTTGTTGCCTGGCTGACTGTTGCCTGGCTGGTTGTTCCCTGGTCAATTGTCACCTGGCTGGTGACCTCCTGGCTGGGGACCAGCAGGGGGTGCCCGAAGCAGAGCAGGAGGAAGAGGAGGCTGGGCAGTCCTGGAGCAGCCCAACCTTGGCCCATGGCCGCAGGATTGCAGAGCCCTGCAGCCACCTCCCCCCTGCCAATAAGAGCTGAGCTTGCAGTATGACCTCATAGAGCAGTGTGGCCGGTCAGCTGGCCCCACGGGGCCTCAGATCTGGGCACACCCTCTTTAGGATGCTGGGGAAAATATAGGCTCATCCCCACCCCAGGGCCCTGCTGCTGAGCTAAGTGGCTGCCTGGCCCTCCAGAGCTGGGCTCCAGGGTCCAGCTGAGGGGAGCTGAGGGGAGCTGAGGGGGACCTGGAACAGGGCCCGGGTCCAGAGTCCACAATGAAGAACTTGCCTCAGCGCACTGCCCCACCCTCACTTGGAAGTTTACCAATGTCCTCTGGGTAATCGTCAGGCATTGGTGGCTGCCACTGATATTCCGGCCAGCCCAGGACCTCTTTGTTCTTTTGGTTCTGCTCCTGTAGCCACTGGCTGACCGGCTGGAAGTAGCTGAGCAGTGGCTGAGCATCCAGGGTATCTGAGCCGATCATATCCTTTAGTACGTCCTGCCAAGGCTGTGAGGAGCCTGCCCGTAGCACTTTCCTGTCAGGGAAGGCAGGCACCGTGAGCACGGGACTCGGGCTGGTGTCTGCTGTCGGCCCACCTGCCTCACCTCTGGCCACTTCTGCCCCACACTGGACGGTAAGAACAGTGGCATTGAGGCTCCAGGACCTAGGAGGCAGGGCACGTTTGTCTTGCCCCGTGCCAGCCTGCTCCTGGGGCCTCAGATCTGGGCCCAGTCAATAAATATTTCATGAGAGAGAGAAAGGAGGAGGTAGGGATGAGCGGCGCCCTCCACCGGGCTGGCCCTGCGGTGTCCCCACTGGAACAGCCAGTCGCCTTCCAGACCTCCCCTTCGGCAGCCTCTCCTCTTACCCTCCCACTTGCCCTCCCTCCCTCCCCACACACCGGAGCTTGTCCCCCGCCTTGGTGGACTGGTAGATGTCACAGCGGTGCAGTGGCCCCTGGTGGCCTGCCTCCTTGCACAGGGCTTGGTGGAACTGGAACTGCAGGACAAAACTCACAAAGTACCTGCAGGCACAGGGTGGGAGTCAGCGGTGGGTCGGAGGGGGGGTCCCTTGCCCAGGTACCATCCAGCTCCCCACAGGGCAGAGGCCAGACCAGGGCCTGCCTGTGGAGAAGGGAGAACCACATTTGGCTCAGGAGGGAGGCCCACTCGAATCCCAGGAAAGAATGTGAGGACAAGCCCTGGGAATGAGGGGCCCGGGTTCATCGAGTAGAGTGAGGGGGCTACAGGTATGACAGAACTGGGAAGGGGAAGTGGCGGGGGACAATAGTACCTGATGTACGGTGTCACATGGGGGACGTGAAACTTAGCTCCGGCATCGAAATGAGTTTCGTTTCGGACGACTGGAGGACAGATGCCCTGATACTTAGTTCTACAAGAGGATGGTTAAAATGTCTTAGGATCTAAGGGTTGCGTACGGGTTGATTTAGCCTTTGCAGAAAAGGCTGCTAAGCAGGAATTCACACCCAGCCATCTCTTCTCCATCCTGATGAACTGGGGGAGAATTCCTGGAGCAGGAATTCTGTGCAGGAAAGGAGAGGACAGTGGGTACGAGGGTGGAGACGGTATCAGAGGGGCCTGGCACTGGCGAGGCTCGCCCAGGAGGGTCAGAGGGCTATTGGGGTTAGGCCCTTCCTGTCCCTGTTTACTCACCGAAGATACCACCAGTCAAAATTGTAACGGGAAGGGGGGGTACGTCCGCTAAAGACCCCCCAACGCCACTGGTCCACCAGATAGCCGAAGGGCAAGAAGGCAACTTTTTCCAGTGCCATCTTTAACAAGTAATTGATGTCGCTTTCTGTTGGGAGATGAGAAGGCAGAGGTCAGAGAAGAAAGGAGTCCAGCTAGGACAGGGTGGCCTGGGGAGGAGCCAGGGAGAGAGGGGAGGCTGGGCAGATGCAGAGGAGGGAAGGCTGGCCTTTGAGACCGTGGGGCCCTGCTTGGAAGAGGGTGCGCGGGCAGTATCGTGCTGGGACTCAGCATGCGCTGTAAGGCTCCAGGAAGATCCCCAAACCTGCCTGACCTGGAGCAGTGAGGCAGAAACAAGGGGGGAAGGTGGGAGCAGGGGCAACTGGGGTCCTGCTGTGGGGTGGAGTGGGGTCTGGGTGGAGCTGGGCTGGGTCCTCTACACGCCCCCATACCCGTATCATTGACGACATGGTCCAGCAGGCCAATTTTGTGCAGATGTGCAGGAGTGGAGACAGACAGCGCCAGCACATCCCCAATGGCCTCGTGGAAGCCAGGGTTGGCACCTTGGCGCAGGGAGACAGGCTGGTCCTTGTACTGCAGGTAGTACTGCACGTGGCCCATCTCGTGGTGCACTGTGGACAGCTGGTCCATAGAGACCCGTGTGCACTGCTTGATCCTGGGATGGGGAGGGGGCAAAGGGCAGGGCAGGAATCAGAGCATGGGGAGGACACTGCCCTGGGGCTGGAGGAGCTGGTGGAAACAAACTGATCCTTGGCCCTGCCCCACCCCACACTCAGGCCTTTCCCCTCCATTCCAAGACACAGAGTTGACGCTGACTACCCGTCAAAGCTGCCGAGGGCAGTTGGCCTAATGGCAGCCCTGGAATAGACCGGCCCCCAGCCAGTGTGGGGCTGGGGGAGAGGTGGGCTTGGGAACTGGCTTTTCTGTGCTTGGGCTGCCCGATTCCCGCAGCCCCAGAACCCTCCTCATCCCGAGTCTAGACCTGAAGTCTTTCCTGTTGTAGAAGTCCCAGGCGGAAGCATGGCACACCACCTGACGTCCGTCGCTTGGTTTTTCCAGCATGGACTCTGCCCAGAACTCAGGAGGCATGGGCAGGAGCCCCAGGGAGGTGAAGAACTCCTCCGCCACCCGGAACATGTGTGTGGCGTTCCAGCCCTGGTGGCAGAGTGTGGGTATAGTTCGGGGTCGGCTGCCGGGAGCTCACTGCAGCTGCCCCGAGGCAGGTCTCGGGTCCCCCACGCAGGTCAGCCCCCTGCCCATGAAGGGCGTCTCCTCTCTGTGACCTCCCTTCCCAGTGGTGGGGTCCCTAATGACCATGGCGGATAAGCAAAGTGGACTCCTCACGCCCGACCAGCGGGGGCCTGGAGGGAGGGGCTGACACCTCATCAAGGACTCAGACCCCCGCTCACCACTTGTACACACACTCCAGGCTGCTGCTCTGTAGAAAGGGAGGGAATGAGGTCCCTGCCCAATCCAACTCCCTCATGTGACCCCTTCGCTCCTCTCTCCCATGTCTCCCTCTTGTTGCCCCCACCCTGGCGCACCCTGAGCTTACCTTCTGCACCATAGTACTGGTCACATCGAGATTGGGCTTGTCAGGGAAAGGCACCACCATGTCATAGATGTTGTCCCAGCTCTGGGCCCACATGTCCCCTGGACGGAGGAGGGGAGCCGGACAGCTTGGCTTCCTGCCCAGCCAGTGCCTGTTCTCCATGCCTGTCTCTGACTAGTATACTGGGCCCCTGGCACCTGCACCCGGGCATCCTGGGCAGAAGCCCACTCAGCTGGCTAAGGCCAGGAACCTCCACATCAGTCCCACCCACAGTCTCGAGCGCTCTGTGCCTGGGGGCTGGCAGAGGCCAAGCAGGAGCCCAGACAAGGCTGCTGGGGCCCCTTCTGATGGGGCCAGGATCCCTACCTTCCAAGCCTGAAGCAGGGCCACAGGGCTGGCTTCCTGGACCACCCACTAGGATTATTATTACTCTTCCCTGGACCTGGAGTCTAAGCCTTTGGCGTGACTTTTAGCCCCGCCTTTTACTAGCTCCCTGCCCTCTGTGCCCTAAGCCTCAGGGTCCCCGTCTGGAAAGTAGGAATGATAATGACGATGAGAAAGATCACCTGCTTTCTGCTGGTGTTGGATGGGCCACATGGGCTCATGTATGTAAGAGAGGACGGTGCGGTGCTCTGAAACATGACATGATGAGGACGATCCCGAGGACGTGTGGAGGCGGGGCCAGATGCTTACCCAGCAGGTGAGCGGGGATGGGTCCTCTGAGGTTGATGTATCGGTCCCCATAGCGGCGGTGCAGTGCACGGCGAACATAGGCATGGAGGTTCAGGTAGAGGGGCTCTAACTGATGGTAGAGGTGCTCCAGATCCTCCACGAAGGTGGGTGATTCATACCAGGAGCGCCAGTAGTCCCCTGTGTCTGAGAAGCCTAGCAGGGGGTGGGGTTGGGGGCAGCTCAGGCCCGAGGCTCTGGTACCTCCGCCTCCCAGCCAGCTACCACTTTGTCATTCTCCTGGCTCAGGGCCTGCGCACCTGCCAGCTAGTGGAAAAGACGGCTTGGGGGTTGCTGGCCTACAATTTTCTAACGGGTTGAATTCCAAGCTAAATAGATCCTGAAGAGCATGAGAGGCAAAGGTGAGTGCTGGGTGGGGAGGAGTACCTGGAGGGGCAGGCAGGAGGGGCCGTGTGAGGGCAAGCAGCAACCTGGTAGAAGGCAGACGGGGCTCAAGTCTGGTTCCATCATCTATGGTCTGTGCAAGACCTTGGGCCAGTGTATGGAGACATCCTAACAGCTGCTCTGTCTGCCTCTGGGGTTGGGGCTCAGTGGACACACAGGATGAGAGAGCACCTCGCAAGCTGGGGAGGGTAACGCCCACACAAGGGGTGGGATGGGGCATGCTCACCATCTTGCTTGTGGGCCTCGTTGCTGAGGGCAGTGAACTCCTCATACAGGGGTTTCAGTGGGATGCCCACGGCATTGTGCCAGCCCTCCCAGGCATAGAGCAGCAGGCCGTAGTTTCTTGAGATAGACAGGATATGCATGAGATCTGAGACACAAGTGAGCAGTGTCAGAAGACTTCTACGTCGAACTCAGCATCAGCCTTCACCAGAGCTCCCACACTGGTCCTCGCCATCCCCACCTGCTTCCTCAACATCGTGATACCCCGAAAGCCAAAGGCAACCAATAAGCTGGGTGGGATGAGGCAAGCACCCAGGCAGGGTCCTTATCTCCAGGTAAATGACGATCTAAGGTGGTTGACACAAAGAGGACATCCAGAGGCCGAAACCC